GAGCGCCGGAGGACGGGGACAAACTGTCCTCCTCCAGCCGGGGGCGTTTGAACGTCCCCGTCGCGCGGCGGCGTGAGCCTTTCGAGCTCACGCTCAGCCGCTCCGCCAATGTTGTGTCGGACTCTGAGTCCGACCCCCTTCGACTGGACTCCCGTGTGTGGGGCCTGCTGGACGAGTCCAGCGCCTCACCACGAGTCCCGGAGCCACTTGGGCTCCCTTCTCCCGCTACCGCAGGCGAGCCAAGCTCACCCGCACTCTCCTCCTCCGGTTGTGGTTTTGATTTTGATTTTAAGTTCTCCATACAATTCCCACGAGTATGGGGGAAATATTCGGTCCACCCAGGCAGTGCCCCCTGTACCTGGGTAAGTGTTAATTTGTTTCCCAACTAGAGGTTCCACTGGTCCCCTAGCTGGGGGTGCGCTCGCGACTGACACTACTCCTCAGCCATGCATACTCTCGCCGCGCACCAGAACTTAGTATTGGAGGAATTTTTTATAGAGGTTATCTTCCTCGCGGTCCGGGCGACCAAGCCAAGACCCTCGTCCCGTTCAGAGTCACAAAACATGACCGTGACCTCCTTACGGATTACGATATCGACGGCTGCAATCGGGGACAGCTTGTGTCCCGATGCTGCTCGCTGGCAGGGTGAGTGCACAACGAGCACCGCCCTTGCCTCTCCGCCACGCTCTCTGCTAATCAGAGAGACAGGCGGAGAAACGCCCCACGGAAGCGCAGGCCATGAGCACACAGCCCGCCGCCTCCAGAACCCTATCGGGTTCGCCCGCCCCGTCCAGAAGTCTGCTGCGGGCGACAGTCACTCCAACCCTATCACCCCCGCAAAGTCGTGCAAGTCTAAGATTCCTTATTGCGATTTCGTTATTATTATAGTCAAGTGACTTGGCCATTGAAGGGCAACATCAATTTTCCATCGGCAATGGGTAGCGGTTCTGGCGAGAGATTGGTGCAATGGTGTCATTGAGCATCTGGTTTTGTACCCTTCAACGGCAAAGTCACACATTGACTATAATAATAACGAAATCGCAATAAGGAACCTTAGACTTGACACGACTTTGTTATATTTCATTACTTTTTAGAGATAAACTAGCAGCTCCATCGAGACTTGGCTAGTTTTTTACAGAATGTTTTGGTGGAATTGATATTTTAGTGAAATAAGTTTATTTTTAATCTAATCAGGATCGCCAGTTACTCCAGATCTTCGATTATCCTAGTTTTTATAGTTTTCCCTTTATGTGGCCATTAAACCCTAACTCTGTACCAAATTTCAGCTCTCTGGGGTTATAGGAAATACTAGTTCTATTTTGATGATCATGAGTGAGTGAGTGTCATAAATGCGAAATTTTGCTTTCGCTTAACTTCGGAACTAAATGACCTGTAGACTTGAAATTTTGGATTATAAGTATGTGATTATAGTTTACTGGATGACGAAAATTTCTGCGTTCTGGTCTTATCCAGAGGTTCTCAAACAGGGGCCTGAAAATGCGGCGAAATGGTTTCAGTAAAGGATGGTACGGCAGTGTTTGCTTCGCGCTCGACTTGGCGGGGGCACTGCCGTGCCCCCAGATAAGATATAGAGAAAAAATAAAACAACAAAACTATACAATGAAATTTTATTTCCCAATAACTATTCATAATTTATTTTCATAATCAAACGTGTATTTACATAATAAAAACGTCTTTTATCACGTCGGTAACAATATATAAAGTTCGTTCGTTTGGCCTTGGGCCTGTATCATATGAACTAGGGTTGCGAAGAGAATCACAGGTATAAGTAACACTGTTTCTTCTGCTAGATAAAGTATTGTGAGGAGTAAAATAACAGTTGTAACTGTTGGTGGATGCAGCGATTCCGATCCGGCGTGCAGTTCTGCTAGACTTTCTTCTGGAACAAAGGGGTATGTGTTAGTTGAGGATATTAATATATCTATGGGATAGAAAGAGAAAATACGAACTCAAATTCAAAGTTAAAATCATTTATTTCAGTTAGATCAAGACAGTACTTTTAAACTTCAAACAAAAAAAAGAATAGTGGCAGTCTGTAGGTCAGTTCTCTAGTGAAGCTATTTGCTCATTACAATCTGTAGAATCCAATTGAGAAGAAAGAGCAAAAACTGTGTCGAGTAACTGTTGTCGGTATTGGTACATAACTTCAGTTACCTACAATAAAAATATTTTTTTTTTTTGGAAATACAAGTAACAGTGAATACAAGTAAAAGTGTATTAAAGTAAGACTTCTTTATGTTTGACAAACGATTTAATCTTTGTTACAAAGTTAGCTCTAATTGAAAATATTCGTATCTAACTGAAAAAGTAAATGAGTATTGTTTTTGTTGACCAACTGACCTCTAACCCAGTAAAGAAGGTAGTATCTTATCTGGTATCTTACTTAAATTCGTTCTTAAACCTAAAAACAAGACGACAACTAAAATTAATCTAGCTTTCCATATAATTAACAATCTTAATACTTATACTAATAAAATCCAATGTTCATTGCATGTATTTTTGTTTTCCATCATGTTTATATTACATGATACCTTTATTTTCTCTGAAGTCGTTTCTACTAGTTAAATCAGTTTCTCCGATACTCAAGAAGTTGGATGTAGTATTTGCATAATCATATCGTTTGCAAGTTCAGACCAAACTTGGGGAAGATTTTCTTTGCCTTGAATCCCTGATAGGTTCTATTGATATTTTTTTTAGGTTGTTTTGCATGATTTTGTGATTGAATTTGATTGATGACCGTTATTGTTGTATTGGAGAGGTTCATGCACTTTTATATTTAAAAATCAATGATCTTTCGAGATATACTCGGTGCCCGTCGACTCTAATATCAAAATATCATTATATTATTGTTGTTTAATTTTGTAAGTGTGGCGAACAACACAATTAAGCACAAAGTGTTTGACTCTCAAAGTCTAGATTAAGTACATAGTTTATCACAAGTTACTCAAGAGTAAAATAGTTACGAGAAAATGAAATGAAAACCAATTTATCCCCAAGCCACAAAGGTAATAACCACAATTGAAAATTTTAATAAATAAATGTAAGTATAAGTTCTACGTGGCTAGCAAAATGAACTCCAACGAATAAATTACTTACGACAATTTTAACTTCTAAATAGGATTAGTCTTAGAAATATACAATTTCATTACTCCCACTCATAAGTTACTCCCCTATCCATTCTCAAGGGACCCAAAAAGTTTTTCACTGAATCGCGTACTTCGCTGAATAGGGCACAATTACAAATGACCTTGAATCTTATGCTCTTGATTTAGGGTCTAAGAAACTTTATATTGGTTTTATGTGCACCTGCTAGTTTGGCTAAAGTTAATATTACTTTAGATATATTTTTAAATTCGTTTTCGAATTTAATTTCTTTAAACACAGCCTTTTGCTCCTGGGATGGATTAAATTATAATTGCTGCAAAGTAAATACCCACTTTTCTCAAAGTGTATAATTCATTTTTTTGCAATAATTCTTATTGAACACCTGGTACTAATGGAATAAACTCGAAACCTTACACATGGTAGTCACGAAGATAATCAAATGAGATATTTCAGGTTACATAATAGCTTTTGACTGCCAGATAGTAGACTGTTCAGAAGTTACTCTTGCGTATTCCATGCCAACAATAAATCCAAGGATACATTAGGGGGCAAATATCGTACGACATATATCGGTGACATGCCAAGCGAAGCCATGCGATTGACCTGACATATACGGTGACAACGCGCGACTTATGTCCACTGCGACGTTGATATTGCCAGACACGACGACCAAAGTCCAGCAACGTCGCACTACTTCACCCAACGTCGCTGGCGATACGTGTCACAGGGCATTTATTCCTTAGTGTATCCATGGCTTAAGTTAATTCAACTGTTTGTTGAACCCGATCCATTAGATTTAGGGAAAACATGGAAACCATCGAATAATTGAATACCATACATAAATGTATGAGAGCTAACTGCTATGGATGTGTCCTGTTTTAATCATTATGAGACCGACAATAATGAAAACCGCACGTGTATCTAATGATATCTCTGATTTTGGTTACCAAAATTTCGTATTTTGTTGATAAGGTATTAATGTATGTATCTAGTATACCGAATAGGATAAAACTACTTAGGCTTAAATCTGGAGGCACTAACAGTGGTATAAAGGTAGTTAGAATACTGATAAAAACTGCAAAGTTATAAAACTGGAAAATGGATAAAGTTACGAATGAGCATAATCATTACCATCACAATATAACTTCTAAACCTATAGGGAAGCCATTTCCATTTAATAAAACACAACGAGTAGGCCATCACACACTTAACAAGACGGCTCCAGCACGAGTCCGGCACGACTTTAGCCGGGCGTTTTATACTTTGGAAACAATAAAAGGTTGTAAGAGCGCCGTGGGCGCGCGGGCGGTACGCTACAGGCTTTTTCATATTGACGTTAAGAAATATGTCACATACGATCGAAAGTTCACATTTAAATGACAAGTTGGTCAAGTTGGTTGCTTGAACCGTGTCAGAGCCGTGCTTGTTTCGTGTGAGATGACATTAATTACGATGCGTGCCCCTCCCATAGCAACCACGCCATCAAGAGACCAATGGACCAATTAGATTTATTTTTGAAAAATGCAGAACAGTAGCATTCATTTACCGAACTCATGAAGATTCTTAGTTTAACGATACGTACCATTAAGAACATGTACAGACACGGTGTGGGAGCGAGCGCCTCGGACGGCGCACGTGTAGTTTCCAGCATCACTGCTGTTCACACGAGCGAGCCGAAGCTGGCTGTCAGCACCGCCAGGCACTTGTTCTGTCTTGACACTGTGAAAAAATAATTGTTTTAATGTTTTGAAGAAATTAGAACGCTTAATTTGATTGACTTAAATTTTGAAGCTTCTGTGAATTCATAAATATTTTTTTTTTTGTAAAAGCGCGTTAAGGTTGAAATCAATTTCAATTTTTATTTAATCCTCAGGTCTACAATCGAGTGTCCTGTAAGAAAAGGAGGTTTGAACCTATTTAATTTATAGTAATAAAAGACTTATTAATTCTTCTGTGACTTTAAAATCAATTTGTCAAAAGTTATATTTCATAACGAAATGTAATAATCTGATGATCGTAATTATCAACAGCCTATAAGTGCCCACTGCTGAGCAAAGCCTCTTCTCACACGGAGAAGGTTAGGCATTAATCACCAGTTCACCACGCTTGCTCATTGCGGGTTGGCGATTTCAAACTTATATTCAGAAATTATAAGACCGGGTTTCCTTACAATGTTTTCCGTCACCATTTGTCAGTGAAGTTTAAATTAGCTTAGAAAGTACATATAACTCGGAAAAAGTCACATTGGTACTTGCTGTTGTTAGGTTTCAAACCCGCAACCTCATGCATGAAAAGCGGGTGTCTTAACCTCCGGGCCACGATGACATACATATACAATACAAGTTCCTCTAATTACAATAACAACATAACATCACGCCTTTTATCCCACAAGGATAGGCAGAGGTGTACATTACGGCACTTAATACCACTCTACAATG